CCTCCCTCCCTCTCTCCCCGGATCACAGCCCTGTCCATGTCCCCACGTCCTGCGTGGCTGTGGTGGCAGGTGACACTGGGGACTCTGTCGCCCCGCTGCACCCCTCTCCAGTGTCCATGCCTCTGCAGTCGCTGCAGTCCCAGGAGACGGCATCATCTTCCCCCAGGGCAGAGCAGAGCTGGTGGGTCCCTTGTGAGGCACAGGATGTGCAGAGTAGAAGTCTCCAGGGCCTGGGGGAGCAACAGGACCCACTGTCACCAAAGGCCCCCGAGCTGTGTGTGGGGTGCCAGCCCCGGCGCTGTGCTGAGCCCACGTCCACCCCGCTCCCGCCGGCAGCTGGGGCTGAGCTGCTGGCACTCACCCTGCCGTGCCGTGCCCATATCCCAGGGAAGCTCCATCCCTGCCCAGAGGAGGAGACGAAGGCATCGCCATCTCCTCGCTGGGGCTGCGGGGACCGCAGCCACCGGCACTCACCCATTCACCTCCACATGCTCGCGTCCCTCTGGGCACAGGCACTGGTTGGCATCACAGGAGCTGTGCCGCAAGTAATGGCCTGCAAAGGCCCCATCCTCCTCCTCCCAGGCAGCATCCCTGCGGGAGCGGGGGAGCGCTCACCCTGGGGCCGTGGGGGACACCCCGGCGGCACCCGCGCAGGCAGGAGGGCTCAGCTGGAGCATCGCGGAGGGGGAGGCGGCAGCGGGAGGGAGGGCACTGACCTGTCAGGGATCCGGATGCCCAGGTGAAACATCTCTGCCAGGAATTGCTCCCTGTTGCGGCACAGCGGGCAGCAAAAGTAGTGAAAGCCAGAGCGCAGCGCCTGTCCCTGGGGCAGAGGTGGCATCAGCATCAGCACCCGGGGGTCCGGTTCACCGCCCTGGAGCTGGGCGACGCGACAACAGGGTGACAGCAGGGGGGATCGCTCCAGGGGCCGGGGGCGATGCCACCTACCTGGATGCAGCCGCGGTGGAACCAGGCGCTGGCGCAGGCGGGACACACCAGGGTGTCGTAGCAGGGCCGCTCCGCCACCCCCTCCTGGCAGATGAGGCAGAGGGTCTGGTCCTGCTGCACCGCCCGCACCCGCTGCACCGGCCGGTGCTTCCAGCAAAAAGACCTGGAGGATGGAGGGGACAGCTTGGCTCCGGGCCCGGACCCCGGCACCAGCCCCGGCCCCGACCCCGCGTGGCAGCCATACTCACTTGAACTCCCCGAACAACTGGGAGACGCAGCCCCGCTTGCTGCCGCAGGGGAAGTGGAAGATGCGGCGGCAGCGCCGGGGCCGGCAGCGCCGGGCCCGGCAGGTGACCGAGGCGCCCGGCAGCTGGCAGATGTGGCACGTCTGGGGACGGCAGGAAGGACAACGGTGTCAGCGCCACAGGCCCCAGGGAGCCCCGCCGCGTTCTGTGGGGCCGCCCGGCTGGTGACACCGGGCCCCTGATAGATAAGGATGCCCCCCGTACCCTCCAGATCCCCCCCCTGCCGCAGGAACGGGCCTTTTTGCGTCATGGGGTATCTGACTTGGGGGTTGCTTGCAGCCGGCTGCCAGAGCAGCGCTGGGGGCTGGGTGGGTGGCTGCTGGCGTGTGCAGTGCCAGGCACGGGGCGTGGGGACACGGTGGGGACACATGGGGACAAGGCCTCACTTTCTGTGCCACCCGCTTCAGCTCCTGGCGGATATCAGGGAAGAGGAAGCCGTAGAAACCCTCTTCGTTGGCCCCTCTCTGCATCAGCCCGCTGGCGTGGTACTGCAAGGGGGTTTTGAAAAGAGGGTGAGTGCCAGGGGCTGCCTGCCGCGATTGAGAGACGGAGACCCAGCTCAATGCAAGTCAGGATCTACTTTATTGAACACAACAACCGATTTTATATTCCAAACAGACAAAGAGAGACATGTGTTTTAAGCTGATTGGCACAATGGTTAATCACCTAATACATATTACAAAAATTGAGCTCATGATTGGCTAACGTCTAAGGTCAGCTTGACATTTTCTGCAGTTAATTTTCTGCTAGCTCACAGCATTCTTCTTCTTAACAACTTCTACTCCTGTTTCTATAGCACATGCTTATCTCTAGTTAAGAAACCAGCCCTCCTGGAAGAAATCGTCCTTAGCCCCAGGGGTGTAACAGTTTGCTTACAGCTTATGCAAATTACGATGCGCCAAGTTGAGCACGTCCCTCCTAATCAGCTCTATCTCGCTGCTAGAAGGAGAGACCAGGCTGCCCCCGGCATCTCCCCCTTCTTGTTGCACAATAAGGACCCTTTTCACTGAACTGGCTATCAGGTTCTGCACACACTGCAAAAAACAGGGTAAACAAAGTAACAAATGAATAAAAACGACTAAAGCATACACAATCATTTTTACAAGGCTTCTCAACCATCCTGATAGGCTTACTGTCTATCAAAGAACAATTCAGAAAATTAAAAACATATAAAGCTTTCTGAAGACGTTCCTCGGGGGTAACGGTCCCTATTCCCCCTTTTTGTTGTTGCAATAAGCGTTTCAGAGACTGATGAGAGCGTTCAATTAAGGATTGGCCCGTGGGGGAATGAGGGATACCCGTAATGTGGTTGATCCCCCAAGAACTCAAAAACTTTTTAATTGCAGTTGAAATATATGCAGGGCCATTGTCAGTTTTAATTTGAGAAGGTATGCCTAAAGTGGCAAAAGCACGCAGCAGATGTCGTTGAACATCGCGCGCCTTTTCGCCAGTATGACAAGAGGCAAATAATGCCCCAGAAAAGGTATCAATAGAGGAGTGAATATATTTTAAGTGACCAAACTCCGAAAAATGAGTGACGTCGGTTTGCCAAAGTTGCAAACTTTGCAATCCTCTAGGATTAACTCCTCCTGCTATTGTAGGAAATGAGTGCCTTTGACAATCGGGACACACAGCAACTATACTGGTTGCCTGCTGAGTAGTAAGGCCAAATTGTCGCTTAAGCCCACCAGCATTTTGGTGAAAGAAAGCGTGGCTGAGTTTTGCTTGTGCTATGCGGTCTGGCAGTACCTGTACCGGTAATGTAAGCAGGTCAGCTTGCCGGTTCCCTTCCGCTATAAAGCCAGGTAAGGAAGTGTGAGATCTGACATGCATAATGAAATAGGAATGAATGCGAGAATCTAAAAGAAAAATAAGCTCCTGTAACAAAGCAAATAATGCAAAATGTGAGACATTTCGTAACACAGACGCCTCAGCTCGTTCAACAATCCCTGCAACATAAGCTGAATCAGTGATGATATTAAGCGGTGTAGACCATTTTCTAAAGCTCGGACGACGGCAGTCAGTTCCACGATTTGGGGGGAACCCGGCACTGTCTTTATATCCGATTCCCATTGTTTGCGCTGGTCGTCCCACCAGAGGATAACAGATTTGTGGGACTTCCCAGATCCATCTGTAAAAACAGTAAGAGCTTGCAAAGGCTGGTCACTCCTCTTTGGTCTAGGTACAAGCTGGAAATTAGCATTAAACAATTTATGAGAAGGTGGGTGAGAAGTGAGTTGGCCTGTATAACCAGCTATCGCTATACTGAAGGCTTCCGATTGTTGGTGAAGCCACTGCAAATAATCACTGACCATAGGCAAATAAATACAAGTGAAGTCCATTCCAGACAACATTAACAAGCGCCGCCTGGCACGGACAATCAAGGATGCAAACATTTCATGCTGTGTTGAGATGGTTTTCGTGGGTTGATTCGGTAAAAATACCCATTCAATGATAAGCAACGGGTCAGACTCCTGCAAGTCCCATTGAAATATCAAGGCATGAGGCTGTCGAGCAGGATTCAAAATGATTAAAAGGAAAGGTAACTCAGGGGCATATCGATGTGCCTGTCTTAAGGTAATAGCTGTAGCAACTTTTTGTAAGGAATCAACAGCTGCAGGGTTGAGAGCGCGAGGGGAACATAAGTCTGTGCTCCCCTTAAGCAGGTCGAATAAAGGACTTAAATCTGCATTGGAAATTCCTAGCAAAGGTCGAACCCAATTAATTGTTCCCAACAACTTCTGCACATCATGCAAAGTCCTCACATCTGCTTGAATTAGTAAAGGCTGTGGGACTATAGTTTGAGCCCGTATGCGCCAGCCTAGATATTTCCATGGTGGTATTTTCTGAACCTTTTCTGGCGCAACACAAAGACCTGCTGAATTAACAGCAGTTATGACAAGGGCTACAGCTTCCTCCATGACTTCGTGATGTTGTGCTGCCACTAGAATATCATCCATATAATGGTACAATAAAACGCAGGGCATCTTTGTTCTAACAGGGCTAAGGACCTTGGCTACATACCATTGGCATATTGTGGGACTGTTTTTCATTCCTTGTGGTAGCACAACCCACTGATATCTCTGCAATGGAGCTTGCATGTTGACGCTTGGAACTGAAAAAGCAAATTTAGGAGAATCTTCTGGATGCAAAGGGATATTAAAAAAGCAGTCCTTGAGGTCAATGACTGTCAGAGACCAGTCCCGGGGGATCATTGTGGGAGAAGGGAGCCCTGGTTGCAGGGCTCCCATGTCTTCCATAGCGTCATTAATTTTTCTGAGGTCATGGAGCAGGCGCCACTTGCCAGTTTGTTTTTTAATCACAAAAACAGGTGAATTCCAGGGGCTTACAGAGGGCACAACATGTCTTTTGGATAACTGTTCATCAACTAATTCTTCCAGGGCGCGAAGCTTTTCCATCGGCAGGGGCCATTGATCCACCCAGACAGGGGTATTAGTTTTCCAGGTTAATTTCAGGGTGTCGCGCACCTCAATGGCCCCTCCTAAAAATGCGTTTGAATAGCCATTCCCCATTGTGACAGTGCATCACGTCCCCATAAGATCATAGGCACAGGTAGCACAAAGGGCTTAACAGAGGCTACATGCCCCTCCGGGCCCAGTATCTGAATGAGCTCTAGGCTCTGGTGACTATTTCCAGCACCTCCAATCCCTGCTAAGGTCTGAGAAACATTGGCCAGAGGCCATTGTGGGGGCCATTTAGCCTGGGAGATCACCGTAACCAGAATCACTATTCTAACATCCACTTTCGGTGCCAATCTCCTGCTGTAGTAGTGATAATAATGCCTGTAATACTCTTCAGGATGATCCAACATGTAGTCATAATCTTTGCGCATTTCTTCATCCGGAGCGGCTCCGGCCGCGGCGGCGGTCCCCGCTCTCTCACCTTGAGCGTCTCGTAGGCGGTGGCGATGAGGAGGAACTTCTCGTGTGCCGCCTGCGGGCCGCCGCCCAGCGCGGCCGGCTCCCCGCGGTAGCGGTCGGGGTGGTACTTGCGGGCCAGCTGCCGGTAGGCGCGGGCGATCTCCGCCTTGCTGGCCTGCCGGCTGACGCCCAGCACCTCGTAGCACACCCGGCGGCCGCAGTACAGCCCCTCGGTGAGGCCCCGCGCCGCCGGCAGCAGCAGCGCGGCGCACACACAGAGGCACAGCAGCCGCCGCCGCCACGCCGGCACTGCGCGCCCGATCGCCGCCGCCGCCGCCATTTCGCTGCCGCCACCGCCCCCGCGCTTCCACATTATCTATCTGGCGCTCTAAGGCTTGCTTTAATCTGTCAATAAATTGCATATAAGGCTCCCGAGGTTCCTGAGTAATGGTAGTAAAAGCCTTTTGTGGCTTTTGAGAGTCAGGTATTTTAAGCAGAGCCTTCTTTGCTTCATTCCGCGTGGCGTCAAGCGCTTCCCGCGGAATATCCCTCGCCTGAGCCACCGGGTCCGTGTGCTGGCCAGTACCCGTAAGATGCTCAATAGTCAATGCAGCAAGAGCAGGATTATTATGGCCCACATAGGTTAGTAAAAGCGTTTGGAGTCCCCTCCCCCATTGCGACTCCCATAGCGAATACTGTGTGGGGGTTAACAGCAACTGTGCGAGAGATTTGAGATCATGCGGAGTCATGACATAAGTATCTAAGACAGAAGATAACAAACTCGCGAAATATGGGGAAGAGAGGCCATGCTCGGTAACAGTACGGCGCAACTCCTTCACCACAGGGAAGGATAATGCCTCCCATTGAGCCCCCCTCCCCTGATAGATAACAGGAGCGACTATTTTTTTCGCAAGTTGCAAGTCCCCCTCTTTCAGAGCTTGTCGTTTAATATTTGCCCATACGTCCTGGGGATCGGGAGGGTAGAGATCTGGCTCCTCCTCTGGGTCCACTGGTCCTGGATCAAAAGGATCATCCTCTGGGGGGTACTTGGCGGCGCCCACCTCAAGAGGCTCCGAGGTCTTCTTATCGACCGGGAGACCTTTCCTGTCTTTAGTGTCTTTATTCTTAACGGTCTCCTGAGCCTTCAGAGTTTCAAAGATAGTCCTCCACCACGGGAGCATGCGCTGTGCTTCAGCATTCCCTGTTGTAGCCGCGTCCCACAGCTTAATCCCCACGTCATCCCAAAGCTCAGTCGTTAATATACTGGAAGCAGTTACAGTGGGGATTTTCACTTGTACCCACTTGAGCATAACCTTAAGATCTTGCCCAGAGAGATTCTTTTCATATTTTTTAAGAAGGGCTTTCATAAGTTCGTACACGTCCCTCTCTGGGGAAGACACCTGACTTCCCATGTCTCCCACAGCTCACCTCACAACTCCGGAGGGATTCTTAATGCCGGCTCCTGCTTCCTTTCAGCAGCTCATTCAAAGTTCTGTGGGACTCGCAGCATGCCACGCAGATAGGTGGTTCTTAATCCCGAATCACGTCGGGGTCACCAATTTGCCACGATTGAGAGACGGAGACCCAGCTCGATGCAAGTCAGGATCTACTTTATTGAACACAACAACTGATTTTATATTCCAAACAAAGAGATACATGTGTTTTAAGCTGATTGGCACAATGGTTAATCACCTAATACATATTACAAAAACTGAGCTCATGATTGGCTAACGTCTAAGGTCAGCTTGACCTTTTCTGCAGTTAATTTTCTGCTAGCTCACAGCATTCTTCTCCTTAACAACTTCTACTCCTGTTTCTATAGCACATGCTTATCTCTAGTTACGAAACCAGCCCTCCAGGAAGAAATCGTCCTTAGCCCCAGGGGTGTAACAGTTTGCTTACAGATTATGCAAATTACGAGACGCCAAGTTGAGCACGTCCTTCCTAATCAGCTCTATCTCGCTGCTAGAAGGAGAGACCAGGCTGCCCCCGGCACCGAGGCAAGATCCGGTTCTTCCCGCACTCGCTCCTACTCTCGATCATTTCGTCGTTCCCGTTCTCGTTCCTACTCGCGATCGCCACTGTACCCAGGAAGAGGCAAAGGGAAGAGGCACAACCATCGTTCTAGGTCAAGGCCACGTGGTTATGATCAAGGTTCAAGGTCAAGATCACCCACATCCAGAAGATCCCATTCACGGTCAAGGTCTCCAGTATTTAAAGGCCAGCCTCCCCCTAAACTTAGAAGGAGAGAGGGAGCATTTTAACAGATATACAGAGTTCCACCATATGATATGAAAGCTTCTTATGGCAGATCTGTTGGCTTTAGCGATCCATTTGACAAAGGACTGACGCAGAGAATGGGAAAGGAACTATAGGGAAAAATTTTACAAGGGCTGTGCTGTTGACGCTCAACCTTGACCTCCAGTAAACAGAGAGGGCTTTTCTCCAGCTGGGTTTGGTCCACCTGGGACGAGATGGGAGGACTCACCAAATACTCAGGAATGTAGGGAGAATTATTCTGGTGGGCAGAGCTACCAAAGTCATAATAGAGCTGGAAATTACGCTGAAAAACCTTCTGGAAGAGAGAGCGATGGCGTCAAAGACCCTACAAAATCCAAAGAGAAGGCGGTGGAAAAGCCACTGGAAGATGACAAAGAGACATAAAAATTACCAGAAGAGAGGACAACGGGAGGAGAATTAAGGATTTCCCAGTCCTGAGTGGTATGGGAGGTGGGAGACAACCAAGGGAACCAGTTACAGCAGCAGATGTTAAAACGAACTCTCTGTTCCCAAGCAGAGATGATGCCACCCCTGTGAGAGATAAGTTATGGAAGCAGATGCTATTGCTTTCAGACCAACCTCTGAAAAGGAGACAAAAGAGAAGAATAAGCCAAAAGAGAAAAATAAGCCAAACCCAAAAATTGAAGCGACACAGGAGAAAGTAGAAGTGGCCGTTCCTCCCAAGAAAGACAATATAGTAACTCCAGCTCAAGTTCCCAAGAGCAGGTGGACACCGATCATGAAAAATCTCCTTGAAAGGAACCTCCTGTGAAAAAAGTGGAGGAGTAGACAACCTTAATTCCTTTATGTTCTTAATTCATCTTCATATGATCTCTTGTCAGGCATTTTTGAACTTGTGCATGCTCTTTATTTTGAAGAGAAGCACACAGCATCATTTCTCTTTTCTCGGTCTTTAGCTACAGCTGCCAACCTTTCCAGAGGAGAGTTATGCTTAAAACTTTTTTTTTTTTTTTTTTTTTTGTGAGGAGAGCAAGAGAAATTGCAGGAAAAGATCTGCCCTGTAACAGTCACATTAAGAAGAAGTGGTAATGACTGCAAATGTGACTTTCAAGTAACTCAACTGGGCTAATAGATGTTCAAATAAGCTTATTGCCCTCAGACCAAAATCTTAATTGGAACGTATAATTAAATGGGCAGCTTGCTCTCTAGATTTCTTATTTGTGATTCTTAAGCACTGATTATGTATTCATGTAGTGGGTTGGGTAGTCCAACATGTTTGTCAATTCTGACTTGGGGAACTGCTCTAATTAGATAGTACTTGGTCAGTGCTGTTTTGGTTCTAGTTTGATTTGAGTTTATAATGGCTTTAATCTTCCTAATACAAGTCTTGGGTTTTTTGTTGTTACGTTTAATACAAATATTAAGACATGACTTCAAACAATAAACATATGATAGAAAGAAACCTGATTCAGTATGTCTTTAATTAGATGTGTTGTATATTACAAGCCATGATAGGTCACTGGAAAATAACTTGATTGATCAGTCCAGTAGACAGCTCCCTTTTACGTTTGTTTTCTTTCTCGTATTGGATGCATCAAAAAACTCAAGAAATTAAGGAAAAAGGCTTGAAAGGTAAAAATAAAAAGAGGTGATAGTTATGAAAGGCATAAACCTAAGAAAATTGGCGTCTTTGGTGAAGAAAGAGCAGAAGGTGGCTGACAAACTCAGGATGCAGCAAGTATAATCCTTCTCCATGTTTTAAGGTTTCTCAGTCTTTGAAATGAGGCTTGAAAGGACTCTATATTTTTTTTCCTCCTTCAGCTCCAAAGTAAGCTCTTTATGACTTCATCATAACATTGCTGCCACACAGCTTTGAAGAAGGAAGGATTAAGGGTGAACAGTGAATGAGTATTTTTTCAGGAGTGGGGTGGTGGGTGGGCGTTGAAGGGAAGAGCTTCTTCTTGATTCTCTAGCAGTCTTGGTGGACACTGGCAGGAGAAAGCATTTAATTGACTTCTTTATGGATTATTATCCAAGCTGACATAAAACCTAACTTGGAGGAAATCATACACAGTGCTGCACCCACAAGCCCCTTTGCACTAAACTCCAGAGGAGAAAGGAGTCCCTGCTTCAACAGCTGTACAGCTCAGGCAGGTGCTACCAGGGGTCCTCCTGCCCCTCCTTCAAGAGGAGCAGCCCCCCACGGCTTCCACTGGCGCAGGTGTCCATGTGGATGCTCCAAAGCAGGCCTTGGTTCTGCTGTGCAAAAAGGACAAGGCTAAACAAGTTGAATTCCCTGAGTTTGTCTTTAAGAATATCTTTAATTCATTTCCTATCCCTTCTGTTATATAGCAGAACACAAGAATGACACAGCAGATGAGAAACTGGCTTGGTTGTAATTCAAGTCTTAAAGTGATTAAAAGAAAAAAAAAACAAAATAAAGCAACAAAGAAAGAGAGAAAGTGAGGATTTAAAAGACGTGACTCGCTGCCCAGATGTTGTTCATGTCTATCAGTTATCAGTATTTCTGTAAAGCTTGTGGCTGGGGATTGGGACATCCTTGCTAACCCTGGTTTTAAGGCTGCAGTGACATAATACGCAATTCAAGCAAATCCAGCCAAGGTGCTCTCAGGAACAGCAGTCATGTGCGTTACATAGCACCTCTATCCCGTGCTGAACAAGGGTGGGGAAAGACAGAACTCCCTTTGGGAAATGCACTCACATCATGTTGAAAATGCTGAATGCAAGACCTCGCTAAATTAGCTGCTGGTCTCACTCAAGGCTGAGCAGCTGTCACCTGCCTTTGTGAACACAAAAAATGAAGTCAATGGGGTGGGCTCAGCACACTGCAGAAGAGAACGAGCACTTCAGGCTGAACCTCAGCAAGACATGAGCCACTGAAAACAGATTCTTCAGTGATGCCCATTACCAGAGAGAGCTGCAGGAGTTTCAGCACGTCTAGTGGAGAACGAATGCTCTGTGGGTCCAGGCATGCTGGTATCAAGAAGGAAAGGTGGGCTGTAATGGTTTAATGGTCTTTATTAAGTTAAAAAGGGGAAGCCTAGCAAGGCAGAGCAAAGCTTCGAGTCACCAGTGCCCGGGGAACTGCTTCACCAAGGAGGTGACGCCGAGCACACTCTCGGTGGTCTCGGTCCAGCCAGGATCAGGGCGACGTGCTGAATAATGACAAATTCTCTTCAGTTTGTGAAGGGGGAGCACTGCCAAGAGGCAATGCTGCCATCCTGTATGCAAGCCCCCAACTTATTGCCTCCTGCTTACATCCTTCATTTCTGTTTTTTCCATCCTACTGACCTTCAGATCTAGTCTGTTGCATAGCAACACGTTTCAATTACTGAAATAGGCTCTCTTCGTTGCTCTCAGTGTTCAAACATGTTGGTTTGGCCCGGGCAGCAAGGTATCGGGGAAACATCACTCCTGGATTTTGAGAATCAAATAGGTTCCCATCATTCCCCCTCCTTCCCAAACTGTGTAGGATCCAGCCCTATTCCCCCGGCCCTGCTGTGTGCAGCCTGGCTTCCTCCGTTTTGCTGCCTCCTACCAAGAACACAGCCAACACCTGAGATGTGTGCTGTGTGCTACAGGCCAAGGAAAGTGTTAAGTGGTCCCAGTTTATTTTATGCAGCCGTGCAGCACGGTACATTTTGGAAGGAACGCTGGGATAATGAATGCATCAGAAGTTACTGAAAATGAGGTGATACTGGTAGTGGTTTATTTTCAGTGCCTGGCTTGGGACAGAATACACTCAGATTTTCTAAAATACACATCTATTAGAGAAAAATGAGTGCAAGGTAAAGAGCATCATGCTGCACTTACTGCTAAAGGTACATTTTCATTTCATTCAAACAAGAAAGTAAACAAAGATTGTACCTGCAGAAGAACTTGAACAGCTGTCTTTGTTTCCCAGAGTGAGCGTACAAGCACCGGGGAGCAGTTGGCAGGATGAGACTGTCAGCCTGCTCTGGGCAATAAACGCTCCAGAGAGGAAAGAGAAACCCCACTTTTTCAAATACAGCTCCACCTATCTTCCTATTTCTTTTTGTTAGATTCTGTTAGCAGTCAGACTCTAAGCATGTGATTAAACTTAAAAAATCAAGACATTTAAAGATTATTTACTGTATTAAAGCCTCCTACAAGCAGTGCACTCTATTGCCCTGTGGATAGTATAACACCATGACTGGTAATTTTCCTCTTCTCTTCTCGTACAAGGACGCATTTTGAAGGCAAATCCAGTGGTGCCCCACCACAAACAAGGCTGTGAAAATCCAGACATCCACTGTTACAAACAGGGAAAAGCTGTGGGCGTTTGCTTCAGACTCTGCAAAAGATTTACCAAGCCCAAGGAAAGCGACAGTGAAGAAATGCCAGAGCGTCATTCGGGATGGCGGGTGAGATTTCCATCAGTGCTCCTCCAACGTAGCAGCCCCGTTCTGTTTGAGGATGCAGCGTTGGAATCAAACTGCAAGAGCAGTTTTCTTTACTGCCCATGGTACTCTAGTGCCAACACCTTTCATGTCCCAAATGAAGTTGCCAAGACTGTAGTTAAACCTCTGCAGAACAACCTTAGTGCATGATTTCATTCAAGAGTCGAGTCCAGATATGTGGTATATCATAACCCACACCCCATCTGGGGAACGGATTTGATTGATTTTTACTTCAGACTTATCTGCTGTTAGAGATTTTCATTTTCCAGTCAAAAAGCAAAATGCTGATTCTCTGCATTCTTTTCCCCTTTCATAGAGTGTTGTACTAGGTTTAGTAATGCTTAGGCTAGAAAAGCAAGTGGAAGAAGAGTGGGGTGACTCCTTTAAATGCAGAAGAGGAAAGTATCCTTTAGGGGGAACAGTTACTAAGCTTGAAGGTGTGGGCACCAGAAAAAATGTGTATGGCCTGGCCCTGAGTAAATTTAAGCTGAAAACTGGAAGAAAACTCCTAATGCTTGGATGATTTGGGTTCAGCAACAGCCTCCCAATGGAAACAAAGAAAAGTATAAAGCAACCAGCCAGCCCCTTATTGCTTCCTATGGAGTTCAGTAAGTGTATGATGGGCCTGGAGATCTCTTCCAACCTCTCCTTCCTTCAAATTAACTGCCTCTTCAGGCATTGTCTTTCAGGATACATGTTCCCTTTTCATATTTTAATTGCTCTGACACCTTCCTTGGCAAAGGCCAGCCTAGACAAGGTGGCCCAGCACCCTGTCCAGCTGAATCTTAAAAGTGTCTGCTGTTGGGGGATCCACCACTGCCCTGGGGAGATTATTCCAGCGGCTGATT